GGAGAGGCCAGCTTCAATTACTTCATTTGTTGAAAGAGAGTAATGATGCTAAATGACCCTCCTCATGAAAAGAAACTGCCTTTTTCAATATCTTCACCTTACCAAAGCCATGTATACTGCTGACCGTGTCACATCCTGAGAAACTGTGAACAAACAGTAATATATGCGTTTTATGTTGGCATCAAGAGCATTAACTATTTTACTGATCGAGTGTGAGCCGTTTCTGGTCGTCATCACAATTTCATTGTGATTCTCAGTAAAATGGTGAATAAGGAGGCAAAGTATATCAGTATCCTCTGCTTTTACCTCAACATCTTCGTAGAAGGACAAGTTTAAAGCTTTACTAGCTACCATGGTATCAGCATCATCAGTAGCTACATGTACTTCAATTCCATGTTCTGTAAAAACGTTCGACAGAAGCTTTATAAGCTCATGCTTGTTCTTTGAGTTGCTGAACAATTTTTTCATCGGAACTGTGCACACAGTAGTACTTTTAATAGCTATATCAGAGCAGTATGCCTTGATTCTTCGCTGATGCTCATGATCTTTAGTTGATCGGGCATAGCCATCAAACACAACAATCATTTTCCGCTGTTCGGATTTCGGAACTAGCTTAAGGTATTCATTAGCTATGTCGCCGTATGTTTCAAAGCCTGTGAACGAGGTAACTTGATAGAGTAGCCATCCACCATCAATTATTAATGGGGAGGATGGGTTGCTAAATGTCACAGTACAATCAACAATATTCTTGAGGTATTGCCCAAGGGCTGCCTTGTTTGCCTTTCTCATCATCTGCTCATTGTTAAAAAGACTCATCGGCATTGCTGTGAGCTCATGTTGCAAGATTTCCTCCAGTGCAGACTCTCGTTCAGATGCGAAGACAAGCCGATTAAAAATTGTCAATGAGTCTATAACAATGTCTTTTTCGTTCACCCTCACTGTCCTCTTTAGAAGGGTCAAGTTTCCGACTTTGCCTTTAACTCGAAACTTATCGATAAAGCTTTTACCATCCAGCTCTTTCTGGAGGGCAGTACCAACTGAAATGCAATCTTCTGGGTTGACATTATCCTTCTCTTTCTGTGATATGAGACCCGTTGAGTACGATAGCATTTTAGTCTTGTCTTCAGATTCGTCGAAATCAGCTGTATCTTTAAACCAACACAACAGCTTGGTAAACACTGCAATATTTTTCTGTACAGAAGATTTGCTAAGATCTAAGTGATTAGCACTAGAGGCTTTTGTTGTTGTTCTTTTATTGGATAAGTCTGCAATAGCTTCATCGACACTCTCGTTTATCAACGCCATTTGATTGAGGGTTGCAGTCCATAACTTATGGGCAGATTCATGAGTTCGCATTCTCCCTCCAGACAAACCCCCTGATGACTTTGCAGCCTTCATTAGTCGCTGTTCGATCGACAGGTCTGTCCACACACCAGACCACTCGTGTTCATTATATCGAACTGTGTGCAGACCTACGACCTTGAACGTTTTGACTAGTGCCCCATACTGAATCTCAAGTACGGTAATCTGCTCAAGATACAACCGTAGAGCTTTGGAGTACTGACCTCGACCTGCTGCTACAAAGATAGGCAACATCTTAGCCACAATTGCAAGATGTAGATCGAAGTCATGTAACCGTTCTGCTCTTATAAAATCTTTTATTAAGCAAATGAAACCGTGATAAGTTGTCCAAAGAGCAGCTGTGCGGCTGTGTTATTTCTTTTCATGAGGAGGGTCATTTAGCATCATTACTCTCTGTGAGAGTTTCAACAAATGAAGTAATTGAAGCTGGCCTCTCCTTGTTTCAACATATCTATGGAGATAAAACCAAGGCACTTGAAACTCTCAGATTTCTCAGCTACAGTAGAATGATAGCAAAGAAAAAACTCAACCCATCAAGGCTACCACCGTCTACATCCTCTGCAACTGAGCATATATTAAGATCATATCTTCAGTACCATAACTGGGTGACACTCGACACTGCAAGTCTAAATCCACTACATTATGGATGGGAGATGAGTTCTGAGGGATACTACCGGCCAATCCCGACTAAAGCTGCGATTTCCCCGGCAGGGATGCGCAACCTCATTTGCTGCAATTGCTCGGTGGAGGTTGAGAACCCTTGTAAGTACTTAAGGTGTTCCTGCCGGAAGTATGGCTTTAAATGTCTACCTGCTGCATGTAGCCAATGTCATGGATTAAGTTGCACTAATGCACCCGAAAGACAGGACGATTCAGGAGAATCAAACAACTCTGAGGAAATGGAATAGCCAGAAGTGACCTAATAGTTGCCAATCGAAGACACCATGCTAATAATTCAGGACCTTTTTTTACAGAATTTGATGTGATATGTATATTATTTACTATACTAATATAAGGATCAATTGACAATTGAAAGTAAATTTTAGAATTTGAATACTGATAACTAGACAATGTTTTAATTGTACAACAATTTTGCTAAATTTCCAAATTTAAGTAAAATTTCAAAATTTTAGTAAATTTTTGAGAGGTAAGCCTATAAAAATGAAATTATCTCAATAAGTAAAGATCTGACGACCCTAAAACACTGATTCGCCCCACATAATGTCACTATTGCGGTCATTTTGCACCCCCTATGGTGCTCCTGGGGGTCTTTATTACGATAGTTACGAGTTTTTCAAGTGCGGTCCTCAGGCTGACATACGCGCCTGAAGAAAATTGGCTGTAACTTTTTTTGCTCAACAGATCCAGATTGAAAAATCTTTGGGGTGGTTCCTGACACTATGGACAACACATTCCTGTAAAAATCAGCTTGTCGCAAATTTTTTCCCAGACATTTTGCATTATTCCCTAACTATACGGTCTGTTACTACATAAAATATTTCTCAATTTCGAAGTAGGTTTAAAGTTTACTTTAATAGGTAAATTGTTCTGCTTTACATAATTTCTAATCTTATTGCTAGTACTGTCCGAAATAAAATCTAAATTAAGAACTGTCCTGGAATCATCCTCAACACTCTGACGTCTGTTAGAATTACTACTGTTACAATAACGTCTTGGGTTCTGGTAACCGTTTTTCTGTAATAGATCATCAAGGAGTCTGAGAGAGTGCTCCTTTTCCGCTGGGCCAGATGAGATACGGCAAGCCTCGCTATATAGGTTCTTCACTGTATTAATCTTAACAGACTCAGGATGGCAAGAGTTGTTGTGCAGGGTAATATCCTTTTGTTGCGGCTTGCGGTACAATCTGCTGGTTAATTCACTGTTTGGCTCGATCCGGACCTCAGTGTTCAGGAAGGGGATAAAATCGTCCTGTTGTTCTGGAAAGTCGACCTCCCACTTCAACTTTTTGTCCGGATCTTGGTCTGCAATCTGTTGAACCAGAGCAAGGGCTTCTTCTTTCGTCTCTGCAGTACTGGCAGCATCATCTATGTAGCGTTTGTAGAAGTTCGATAAGTATACCGATAGGTAGTGTCGATCGGTGTAGATAGAGTTCTTCTCGAACTTGTACACTCTAATGATGGCACAGAAGGGCCCTGGCCTCAAACCCATGAACAGACCATCCTGCTGTAGCCAGAGAGTCCTGTTATACACAAAGAAAGAGTTGGTAAGGATGTGTAGTAGGATCTCATGAATGTCTGTCAGGCTGAGTCCCATCAGGTCCAAACTGTCTCGGTGCTCTGTAGCTAGCTCAATGACATCGTCTATACAGCCCTGTACGTTTATGTTAGTGTATAAAGCTGAAATATCCGCGGCAAAGAACTTTCTCCTGGCAAGCTGTTCCTGAGAGATCTGGCGGAGCATCTCTATGTGCTGGATTAATTTTTACACACACCTTGAAATAGATGTGAATAAACGGCGAGCAAAATTTCAACCCGATACCGCAAGAAATTATTTACTTATGGCGTCTCAACCACAAAATAATTTTTTCCGAAAATTGCACTCTCAACCAGGAAATGCTCGATTACAAAAATGGGAATTCTCAAAATATTTTGTTGGTGTGGAAACGGTGCGCTAGAAGGTCACTGAACTGCCTATGAGGTCATTTGGTCTGGACGGCACAAACCACTGTTTTGGTGTATGCCCCCTTAATATGTGTACCTACAATTGTCAATTAGTAGATTTATATTCTTCGTTAAGAATTACAAGATAAGCCAGTTGTTAGTCCCCTGAACTCATACACGAATTTACATCCAGTTTGGACAAAAATTGCCGTGTTATGAGCCAAAAACTATATGCCCATATTTGGAAACACAAACAAAATGTGATAGCTTCTGACCCCTAAAATAATTAAATTTCAATATTTTTGTGTGTCACAACTAAAAAGTGATCACTAACTAGCCGGTTACTCACAACCATGTCACAAGTGTGCTCAGTGACTGGTCACTAGCCAGATAATGACCACTTACTGGCTACACTACAGTGGGTATAATAGTAAATTAGGAGTAAATAGTAAAGGGGGTAAATAGTAAAGGGGTAAATAGTAAAGGGGGTAAATAGTAAAAGGGATAAATAGTAAAGGGGGTAAATAGTAAAGGGGGTAAATAGTAAAGGGGGCAAATAGTAAAGGGGTAAATAGTAAAGGGGGTAAATAGTAAAGGGGGTAAATAGTAAAGGGGGTAAATAGTAAAGGGGGTAAATAGTAAAAGGGGAAATAGTAAAGGGGGTAAATAGTAAAGGGGTAAATAGTAAAGGGGGTAAATAGTAAAGGGGGTAAATAGTATAGTGAATATAAGAGGCACGGTCATGCTTGCCAGCACTGTGATTTAGCACAAGCGCAAAACTGAAAAAACTCGCACGATAATCTCATTCCTATGAACAGCTCTCAGCAGACATGACCTAAAATGTTTTATTCCTCGGCTGTGGTCGACTACAAACAACTTCTTAATGTTGCGTTAGCCAAAACGAAGAAGAAAAAAATTCAGTTATTCCAGATCAATCGGAATCCGTGGTTCAGATATGAGATACAACGTTGCCAAAACCGATCTTAGTTGACTTAAAATAGAAATTAGACGCAAGAGTCGAATTTTGTACAAAAAATATTATCAGTATAATTTCATCACAAACCAGGAATCAAAGTTTTGTTGATAACTGATCAAATCATAATACACGTAATCTATATAGTACCCATTAAAAATCTTTTAACTGTTTAATTATAATGCCTTGCACTCTTCATATCGCCGTGTAGAATCTGATTTTTGTTTAAAAGTATATCTTATCACACCGCAGCACTTTCCCAGTAGGAAAATGTAGTGGAAACTATTAAACTGAAATGCTGATGTGACTGTGCACATTCGATAAAGTATAAAACTATTTAGTATTAAAAGTCGTCTGTCAAACCTAAATTTAATATCTAAGGGAAAATATAGGAGGTATGGTAAACGGATAATAAACAAAGCAAAAAGTATCCGCACTCGAACATAAGTCATAGCTACTCTATACTTAAGAAACAAGAGCCCTCTCGTAAGAGCACAAGTTGAGAGATAATTGAATGAGTGGCGATTTTTGCTCAAATTTATGAAACCGTAAATTGAAGTCTGAAAGTATCGCAATCGAGGCCAGAACAAGGTACATACTAATTATTAAAAAACCTGGTTAAATCTAAAATGAAAACTCGAAGATAAATACAACTTCCCCTTTCCATGTAGAAACTGCCCTTTGTTAAACATATAACATCCCAAGAAAAAACATTATCAAATTGAAAATAAAAATAAAAAATCACAAAATCTCTCATCTTGACAGGTTTATTGCTCATTCATGCGATAATATCTGATTTGTACTGTCACACTAGACGCGAGGATCACATTTGTTAACATACCTTATCAGAAGTCTTAAAGACGAACATTCAACATACTTTGACTGCTGATCTGAGTTGCTCTAATATTCTGGAAATTTCAATCTGATAAAAATCAAATTAAGTCTTTTGGTTTGATATCACAAGATTATACATGTTATAAGACGCACACAGATATTAGCGGTCGGGTTACTCGGATCACATGGAGATCATGACTGATGACTTACAAGGCTGATATTATTTTTAGTCAGGCAGGGTGTGTCCGCTTATCATTCATCTGTAAACTGTAAAAGGAGACTGTTCAAGGTAAACTTCTGGAACATTCTTGTATTGAGGCTGTGTTTGGTGTATGAAAATGTCACACTTGGTGACTAATATCATCAAACTTGGAGATTGTTGTTGTCTGTGTTGTTCATTGGACTGACGTTAAAATCTGACACAGCCTCCAGGCATCTGGGTTTGCAGTCACTCTCCTTCTGAAACAGTTGTATTTTTAGTTGGAAGTAAAAGTTAGAAGATCTACTAATTAATCGCTGAGTGAAACAAATGTTCGCGTACTATGAGAAACCGAAGCGCACTAGACACCAACTTTATAAGATACATTCACTTTAGTTCCAAGTTGGTAAAGAGAAATTCAATATTTCACATGCAAAAGATCATAGTTATTTTATTAACAGGTAGAATTCGAGTCCTGGTGCAATTTATCCAGCAATTTATTGATTCAAGCACAAGAAATTTGTTAAATGAAAATTGATCCCAATTTAACACTTGACATCAAGGTTAGTGTTATTATAATTTTGAAGAATATAATTATCTAATTATTTAATGGATTACAATAATTATACAAATAAAAGTTACCACAACTTTGTCCGTCATATATTGTGATTTGTGGACAATTATAAGAATCAGATTCAAAGTTTTCCGTGAGCCTTGTACAGATAGATTTACATGATTCATAACATACTTAGAACAAGATGTAGTTTAAGATAATATTCTGTTATTTGATACAAATATGGAATTTAATGATATCATGACATGGTAACGTCCTAAATCGTGCCAAAGTTTTGCGGAGTGAAAAAGTAAATTTTTTATTCGTTTCACAATTCACAGTCGAAAGCCAAGTTAGCTTCCAACCAAAAATATGAAACTACCACTGAATACTTCGCAAACATTCAGAACTTGGTCGGATATACTCCGTAAACATTCAAAATTTGGTCGGATATACTCCGCAAACATTCGGAACTTTGGTTAAATTTAGCAGGTTACAGGTGGCAGAACAAAGATCACATAACAAAGATGACATGACAAAGCCGCATCACTGACAGGGCCCCAATATACCTTCTCTCTAAAGATAGAACTCTCCTTCAGGTTCCCCCTAATGGATTAGTTAATAGCTATAGTACTGTTTTGATTACTGCATTATTCATTAAATATATAGATGATAACATGAAAAATATAAATAATAACATGAAATGTCGTATTTTTGCAAAAATAAAGCTATATATTAAGTATCATAAGGTACTTCAGGCGATTTAAATCGTGTCATTCCGATCGCTAGAGATTTCAGGGCTAGTATCATATTATTGGACTGATCAACAGAAATGAGGGATTAGAAAACCAACCACCATAATATTTGATATTATCAGTCATATATTAGGACGCAGTGAAAATATTTTATCAGGGTTGATAGAACTAATATAACGTTTAATTAAAATATAGCGTTATCAAAAGTTTCAGTCGTTTTCCAGATAGAGAATATAATAATTGTATAGAGAGTTGAATCTTACCACTGTTAAAGGTTTATATGGTTTACATGTGATGCAGCTCCGCAAGCAATTTAATATACCCTCTTTAGCTCCCAGGGGTGCTGGTGGTTCTGGTAAGGATGCTGAAACACAAGGATATGTTTTATTAGGGGACAATTTCAACACGATGAAGTGTTCAATCTAGCTTAAGTTAACGATTTGGGAAGTATTTCACCACAAAGAATCCCTGTCTTGGTAGTAAATGAAAGAAATTAGTGGAAGCACCTCCTAGACTTGTATCTAATAAAAACTGGAGATTAAAATAAACATTAATAGTTAATAACTTACAAGCTAGAGGGGGTTGGGTAACACAGATAGTAGCTGATTTGTTGAAATGTTGACGGGGCAGCTCTGAGTCGAACCACCGTCCTCTGGCTGCTATAGATACGAACGCTGCAGCGTGTAAAAACGCCAGGTGAGCAAATAGGTACGCGAAATTACTCTTTTTGAATTCTTCGCCCTCAAATCCGTACATATAAAGTAACTGAAATAGGAAATTAAAATTATTCAGTATTCATATAATGTTATAATTATGTTGGGCACTACTTTTTTGTTGTTGAGATACAGACATCTAAAGTATTTCCTTTAGGAAGTGTCAGGATCACACTGACAATTTCTAAAGTTTCGATTGAAAATAAATTGTTAGAAATTATTTCCTTGTGTTCGACTTACGCTAGGAGGGTATTTAGAGCAGTTTACAGGAGGGACCGGGCAGGACAGCGGGTCCAAAGAGTTGTATATGTTCACTACAAAACCTGAGGATATTGGTTTGTACAACATTGATATCCCAAATTCAGTGTTCAATACGATGTATGTTATGTTAGTATCGATTTTACGAAGAGCAATGATTCATATGAAATATATAAACATTACTCGCCGCGATTTAAAAAGATCAAAACTATGGCTCCAGTACCAAAATAAAGAAAACGCCAGCTTTTAACGAACAGCACAAACTAACAAAATAAAATAAAAACCAGGAAAATTAACCTACTTTTAAATAGCATGTGGAAGGGGGAAAGTATAGCGGCCCACTTTACCATTGTTGGCATGTATTTAACTCGGAATATATATCCCATTATAATAGTGTTAACTGTTATATAAACACCCGCTACAGTCTGCTGAATCTGAAATATTTAACAATTAAATAATAATTAGATAATGTGTTGGATAATCATTAGTTAATTTTTAGAAATGAATAGATTTTTAAAAATATGTTAATTATTTAATTATCTATTATGAAATTCGGTGACATCCTCATCTTGAACTTGATTGAATTATTAGTTAGAACTTAATTTATCCAATTAGCACAAACCTCAAACTTCTGGCTAACAGCCATAATAACAACTCCGAATACGTGGCCCATACAAGCCGTCACCACACACAGGGCTATGTGTACAAAGTATACCAGATTAGCCGGGTTACCTGAGGATTATTGGTTAATTAATAATTAACTTATTAGTTAATAGTTTAATTAATCTAATAGAATTTTTCAAATGTCGGTTTTAGTATTCATCATGATTTTTACTTGTTGCGTCAGCAACTTGAGCGTCAACACTCAAATCTATTATGTAGTTATGTAAATATAGTTGCCACCCTCCCAACAATCCCCCCCCCCCCCCCCCCCCCCATGTTATTAGTTATTACAATCCAGACAGGGACCGCTATGAATAAACTAGCAAAAAAACAACCTCTTGGCTCTTACCAGCCATGAAGTACGTAATACTGGCGAAGGGAACCGACATGATGATCTCAACCGGTAACTCCGCAAGCATTTTAGCGAGGTAGAAAGAGAAGGAGGAGTACCAACGGTTAAACCGCTCCCGCTGGTAAATACACATGTAACGCGAAGCTGAAACACAAGGATTTTATCGGGGCGGAAATTAAAGTCAAGAATATATTTTATCAGTGAAAAATTGAGGGATTTTTGATCACTTTAAGGTTTAAAGGTAATAAACATATTGTGATACATACGACAAATTTAGATAATCGAAATAATGAATCTGTTGATTGGTTATTATAACTGATTAAATCTTACTTCTCCGAGCAGAAGCCACCATAGACCCGAGGAAGAGGAATATGATAGAGAAGAAGATGTACCCAGCGTTCTCCCTTGCTGTAAAACCAGTCAGTCCTACTTCAAAACATATCCCTCCCATCAAAACCCCCAAAAACGTGTAATAAATTAACCTGCAATGTTGAAGTTATAACCTCGTGCTCTTCAAAACATGTGTTAAAATCACAGCTGGAAAAAGAGAAAGAGATGATAGGTAAAATGTAAGCGAGCATACTGAATAGTCAACAGATAAGGAATAATAAAGGAATAATAAAGGAAGCTTCAATTGGGGATAAGGTACCATTAGTACTACTGACCTAAAAGCGACTGCCCGGACTTGCCGAGCGAGGGCTATGCTGTATCTGCTACACATACTGAACCCTTGCATCGTGTGTCGTAAACAACTCTGAAAACGATTATCACATGTCATTGGAAAGATTCTAAATTCTAAAACAATAAATATTAAGTTAATAATATAAGTTTCCAGAACACCCTTTAAGAATTCTGAGAGAGTTACCATGGAAACGGTGGTAACTGGTAAATATAAAGAGAAGCCTCCCCCTCCCCCTACTATTACTCACCACAGGCTCTATCTCGTAAGGAACGTGGTTCTCAGGCCCTGTGATTGGTCTCCTGCATCTGGTCTCATTGGTCTCAACTTGTTGCTGTGTGTCGTTCATGGCACAGTGCGACAATACTGGTGTGGACATGTGTTATTGTAAAGGAAAATCAGGGGCATCTCAAAATACCAAGGAGGGGTTTACAATTGAACTGGGGAGAGTATAATTACATTTTCTCTAAAATCAGATTTGTACTCGTTGATAGAATGTAATTGAGCGCCGCAGTAGTATAAAAAGAGAATGATAAGATCCAGTAAGGAATAGATGAGAGTATAAAACATGCACATTTACCCAATACCCAGAAAAAGTTCACTAAAGGGAATGTCTAGTTTGAAGAGAGCATTTGGAAAGACATGCAATGTGCACGATGCACAATGAAACATTAATTATGCACAATGCTACGTAGAAAATGCAATATGCACAATGGAATATGCACAATGCAATATGCAATATGGATTATGCAATATACATTATGCATTATGCATTGTGCACAATGCAATATGCACGATGAAAAATGCTTGAGTACATTAAATTGGATAATCTTTAATAGTAGTATCTTCTTTTCTTCACTGTATAGTAGCACAGGTTTAGCATCTAAGAAACACCACTATTGAGAATTTTCAAGGTGTCTCCAAATTCCCAGTTCTTACCAAACATAATATGACATTTTGTAGAAGTTTATATGAGGAATTCAAAAGTATTGTTAAGAGAAATCCATGCTATGAGGCAATGTTTTGCAGTTTGTAAAAAACAACACGTTCATGAATGTACATCCAATAAGGTAAAATATCAAGTCGAGATGTACTGATATGATATATGATTTCTATGCTGACTACTATATCACTGGTATTATACAATGCAAGATCACAGTAGTGTGGTGTACTACAAGACGGCAGATGCAGAAGAGGAAGATAACAAAACGTTGTTACTGGCAACTACTAACCATGGCAACTAATAGGTGGTAACCATGGCAACTTAAAGGTGATAACCATGGCAACTAATAGGTGGTAACCATGGCAACTAATAGGTGGTAACCATGGCAACTAATAGGTGGTAACCATGGCAACTAATAGGTGGTAACCATGGCAACTAATAGGTGGTAACCATGGCAACTAATAGGTGGTAACCATGGCAACTAATAGGTGGTAACCATGGCAACTAATAGTTGGTAACCATGGCAACTAATAGGTGATAACCATGGCAACTAATAGTTGGTAACCATGGCAACTAATAGGTGGTAACCATGACAACTAATAGTTGGTAACCATGGCAACTAATAGGTGGTAACCATGGCAACTAATAGTTGGTAACCATGGCAACTAATAGGTGGTAACCATGGCAACTAATAGGTGGTAACCATGGCAACTAGTAGGTGGTAACCATGGGGAGGTTGAGGTATCAAAACGAAACCGAGTTAAGTACTTCAATGTATTTGTTGCTTTTTAAGAAGTATAAAAGACATTGCGAGATTATTGCACTCCTGTTTGATGCGCTTTCTAAAGAATTTACACCATCCCCATGGTTACAATCATCTGAAAGCTTGCAGATCTCACAGATCACTTAGAAGCTGATCATGGTTGCCAGTATCAACGCAGTATTATCTTAACAACATCAACAAAGAAGATTCACAGATCCAGTTACCTGTTGGTCGAAAAATATCTAACGCGATACAAACGGGGCCTGGAAAACCTGGGGGTTTTCAGGAAACTCTCTTATTTCACAAAATAATATATATTTCTATTGTAACGGCAGAAATAATTTGTTGATTTATTGATTTATATCATCCATATAACGGGTGTATAAACGGTGAATTAATAAAACAATTATTCTGACACAATTTTCAAAGAAAAACGGGTCATATATCCAATGAATTGATTAAACGAGTATTTCGGAGGTCAAAAGGATCGTTCACATATCACGTAAGTTGGAGAGGGTTTGCAAAAGCATCGAATGCTTACTATGCGCTTACTATACGCAATACGCCAGGGTCATACACATGACACACACATGACTCAATGAGGGGAGGGGGTCTGAAAAACTTAAAATATGGCTAACTTGATAATATGTGAACGGTCCCTAACTAACAATAACCTGATTACAACATCCTACATCCTACATTGCATCCTACATCCTACATGCCAATCCTCAACACGGGGAACATTTTTAACAAACTACAAAAAACAAGCAACTACAACCATGCTACATGGTGTTGCTTTCAGGGCAACAAATGTAATGAAAACAGCTTCGTTACTAAAAGAGCTGAATTGGTTGATATTTGATAGTTATAATCAAGAGTAATAATTATTGTTAATTAAGAATAATTACCAGGTTATTATCATGTAACAAATTATTTACCTATCTGAATATCAGGAAAGGTAGGATCGTCTGATGCGTCTTTAAAAAACTTGTTAAGTTCACCAGGTAACCCACTGTACACAACCTGTCCTTCAGCTAACACGTACAACTGAGGTGTTACTAAGGTTACTAGGGTTACTAGAGTTAGTAGGGTTACTATGGTTACTAGGGTTACTAGGGTTACTATGGTTACTAGGGTTACTAGGGTTACTAGGGTTACTATGGTTACTATGGTTACTAGGGTTACTAGGGTTACAGTGTTACGTTGAACTAGTAAGTGGTAGTATAACCATGGTGACAGTGGTTAGTGAGTGATTAGCAACTGATTAACGTCACCATGTAGAGATAGTTACCATGATAAAAGAGTAACATCCTAACTCTGACTCACTTGATCAACGAACTGAAGGGAGGCAGTGCTCGCACCAGACTTTAGGCACATTACAACTGCTATCTTCTCCTGAGCCAGTATCTTTACCCGTGTCATGTAGAACATCTGATGCTGGATACTCAGGTCACTGAACATTATCAGTCGTTAAATTAATAATTATTAAATTGAAAGAATAGTTGGTTCTTTTGCGATAGTCAAAACGCGACAACTAGCGCTGGATGGCGACAACTAGCGCTATCCAGCGCTAGTTGTCGCCATCCAGCGCTAGTTGTCGCTATCCAGCGCTGGATAACGCTGGCCAGCGCAAAATATATATCTTCGATAATTGTCGCTATCCAGCGCTAGTTGTCGCCATCCAGCGCTAGTTGTCGCCATCCAGCGCTAGTTGTCGCTATCCAGCGCTAGTTGTCGCTGGCTATGCGACACTGTCGCACGCGATAGTTTGCGATGGCCAGCGCAACTGGCCATCGCAGAAAACAGTTCGATAACTAGCGCTGGATAGCGACAACTAGCGCTGGATAGCGACAACTAGCGCTGGCCAGCGCTAAGCGATAGCCAGCGCTGGCCAGCGCTGGCCATCGATATCCAGCGCAAAATTTTTGCGCTATTACTCGTCAGCTAGCGCTGGCCAGCGCTAGCCAGCGCTAGTTGTCGCTATCCAGCGCTAGCCAGCGCTGGCCAGCGCTAGTTGTCGCTATCCAGCGCTAGCCAGCGCTGGCCAGCGCTAGTTTTCGCTATCCAGCGCTAGCCAGCGCTAGCCAGCGCTAGCCAGCGCTAGCCAGCGCAATGTATCAAAATCATATACTTGCGATATTACTCGGATGATGATTAATCACTTTACACTCGACTGTCACGTGACTTTTTTAACCCATTCTCTGACTCTAGCTGGTTCTGAACGACTTTTCGAAACCCTGACCCTCTAATCTGATCCCAACCCTAACCCTAACCCTAACCCAATCCTTAACAAAAACATATGCTGAAACCCTAACAATAACGAGAAATTAGACTAACTTCCTTATACGGTCATATCACGTGATCGATACATGTACAGTTTTTCGCCAATATCTCGTCAGGAGAGCATTTTAACACTATTATATGTCATGGGCCCATGGGGTTTGATTCGGAATTAGCGTCCGAAAATACATCGATTGAAGTTGGTTACAACCATCGGGGGCCCTTTTAGAACAATCTCGAAGAACTACTGTAGAGTGATTTAGCACGCTCGATATTAGTATTACTTGTCAGCCAGCGCTGGCCAGCGCAATATAGTTGCGATATTACTCGTCAGCTAGCGCTGGCTAGCGCTGGTTAGCGCTGGTTAGCGCTGGCTAGCGCTAGCTGACGAGTAATAGCGCAAAAATTTTGCGCTGGATATCGATGGCCAGCGCTGGCTATCGCTTAGCGCTGGCCAGCGCTAGTTGTCGCTATCCAGCGCTATTTGTCGCGACATTTATCGAACATTTATCGAAAATTTATCAAAAATTGATATTTTGCGCTGGTTAGCGCTGGATAGCGCTGGCCAGCGCTGGCTAGCGCTGGATAGCGACAACTAGCGCTGGCCAGCGCTAGTTGTCGCCATCCAGCGCTAGTTGTCGCTATCCAGCGCTGGCCAGCGCTAGTTATCGAACTGTTTTCTGCGATGGCCAGTTGCGCTGGCCATCGCTAACTATCGCGTGCGACAGTGTCGCATAGCCAGCGACAACTAGCGCTGGATAGCGACAACTAGCGCTGGATGGCGACAACTAGCGCTGGATGGCGACAACTAGCGCTGGATAGCGACAATTATCGAAGATATATATTTTGCGCTGGCCAGCGTTATCCAGCGCTGGATAGCGACAACTAGCGCTGGATGGCGACAACTAGCGCTGGATAGCGCTAGTTGTCGCCATCCAGCGCTAGTTGTCGCGTTTTGACTATCGCAAAAGAACCGAATAGTTAATCATTAGTTAAATTAATAATTACTAGATTGAAGGAATAGTTTCATCTTAACGGTACCTTAAATCATCAATTTCAGACAAAGACTTATTCAGAAAACAGTTAATTAGCTGACCTGAGAGGGTCCTGAATGAATATAAATCGTGGACTCCTCAGATATTCTGCTGCAAGACATAATATTTTCTGCTCTACCAACGTCAAGTCATAAACCTGATCAATACAGCGGGGGTTACCATGGTGATAATTCCGCTAAAATATCTGTACATTTTTACCATTCTAGAATAAATGTAAAGACGCCCCTGATCCACATCCAAAAAATTCAGGTTACTTTTCTACTCAACCTAATAATCTGGGAACATACCTTCCTATGTATAATGTCTGAGGTGAGTAGAAGGTCCAGTATCTTAAGAATAGCTTTGTTCCTCTCGTGGTCTGTATATTCAGATGGACAGCAGGCTATCGCTGAACACTGAAATAACAGCGTTACTATGGTTACGTGTGAGTTACCATGGTTACGTGTGAGTTCCAGTATCTAGTTTTTCACACGGAGATAACAGAACTGATAATACAGCAGAGAGAATCTTGAGTGGTTACCACTCAATGTAACATTTAACACCGTTACTATAGTACCAGTTACGTTATCACAGTAACAGCATTAACAATGTTACCTGTAAGGTCTCCTTGACAGTAAGATTACTGATGATACAGTGGTGAGGAATGTAGGAGGATATTGATTTGAACTGGGTTGTTGTTCTATCCACGTTACCCACTTTTATACGCCCCTTGCTGTTCTTTACTCTGAGGTTATGTTAGTGTTAACGAGAGGTTAACGACCGGGTAACGACCGGTTAACGACCACTTAATAGCAAATCGGCATAACTAAAAGTCATAGTCAATTGACCATAAGGAAAGCGTTTGTTTTCATCACCTGATTCCAGCTAGTATTTTGAGAAGAGTAGATCTGCCCGAACCAGAGGGTCCCAGAATGGCTGTCACCTGACCACCGTAGAATTCACCGTAACATTTGTTCAGTTTAATACCTCGCGCTGAGTGGGTACAAATATCATCATTTTTATTATCTTTGTTCAATTTTGTTTGTAATACAGTGAGATCGGAGTTGAATTTTGTAATTTGAGTCTGAAGAGTGAAGAGTAAGGGGGAATTTGTTGGTTAGTAGGTTTCCCCGTTATCTCGGCACAATTCCACCCTCATAATTCAACACCAGTGTCAAATTACTGGCTACTGCCACGATCCACAACACACCAAAACTTAAATCGTGATGAAATCTGTTTTTAATTACATTACAGTTCAGCCTTTTTCATATCGTTCTCAGATTACTTAAAGAACTGTAGTTGTTGCTGAAAAGGATAACATGAAAATATGGTGTGTGTATGTGTGTGTGTGTGTGTGTGTGTGTGTGTGTGTGTGTGTGTGTGTGTGTGTGTGTGTGTGTGTGTGTGTGTGTGTGTGTGTGTGTGTGTGTGTGTGTGTGTGTGTGTGTGTGTGTGTGTGTGTGTGTGTGTGTGTGTGTGTGTGTGTGTGTGTGTGTGTGTGTGTGTGTGTGTGTGTGTGTGTGTGTGTGTGTGTGTGTGTGTGTGTGTGTGTGTGTGTGTGTGTGTGTGTGTGTGTGTGTGTGTGTGTGTGTGTGTGTGTGTGTGTGTGTGTGTGTGTGTGTGTGTGTGTGTGTGTGTGTGTGTGTGTGTGTGTGTGTGTGTGTGTGTGTGTGTGTGTGTGTGTGTGTGTGTGTGTGTGTGTGTGTGTGTGTGTGTGTGTGTGTGTGTGTGTGTGTGTGTGTGTGTGTGTGTGTGTGTGTGTGTGTGTGTGTGTGTGTGTGTGTGTGTGTGTGTGTGTGTGTGTGTGTGTGGGTGTGTGTGTGTGTGGGTGTGTGTGTGTGTGTGGGTGTGTGTGTGTGTGTGTGTGGGAGTGTGTGTGTGTGTGTGTGGGGTGTGTGGGTGTGTGGGGTGTGTGGGTGTGTGTGTGTGTGTACGGAAATTGAACTGAATCACAACTCACAAGTGTTTCCCATATCTTAAGCATAACATTACGAAAAGAACTGATCAGAGGTTGCAGTGAATGGAAATCTAGCGTTCGCCACAGGGAAAAAACGCGTGCAATTCTTGATTAATCTGAAAGAATAAAACTCACGGTTAGCACAAGAAAGCCAGTCAAACCGGAGACAGTTATCAGGATAGAGTTTCTGCTCCACTATCTTCTCGCTGGTAACACTACAACCCTTATCTTTTCTCTCAGAGTCACTATCGTACCCTGGACCAGATTAGTGGTAATACAATTCACAGTAGTGAGTAATAATAGTGTAATAGAGTAATAACGAACTACTGACTACATTGTGAGCTGTATTAATGGTTTCTTATATAATCGCTGAAATCATCGGTAGATCAAATGGCCGGTCGAAAATGCTGATAAAGAAGTACAATCAATATTCAATAATGACAATTATAGTAACGTTGTCATGGTGACAAAGTTACCTGGGTCGATGTAGTCTGACATTTGATCATCAGGTGTTATCTCATCTCCTCCATTGACCTGCACCATGCTACCTCGCAGCAACTTCAGTAGTGCTTATAAATTTAATTCCTCGTCTCCGTGCGTTAAACTCAGAGGGACTTTTCTTCTCAGTTTAACGAGTGAGTTGAAGGGTTCCTCGTACTCCTTTATAATATGGGAAGCTTCACAGGAACAGATGTCGGCATATTTTACATCTTGTTCTTCAGCTAGAGATACAAATTGTGGTAAACGGGAATGTTTATCATATCGAGAGCAACAGCTCAACAGATTAAAGATCTTATCATTCTCACGAAAGTACAATATGGGAGAGGAAGTGCGTATGCTAATAGAAATTGGTTCTGAAGTGTTTTCAAAACTTCCTTTGACCAAACCTTCCCAAACTTCATCACCAAAAGAGATGTCACGATAAATAACTTTGCAAAAAATACAGACATCGTAAATTGTATTACAAGTGAACGAATGCATAATTCAAATGAAACCCAAGACAGGCGGAGACATTGAAATGTGAGAGATAAGGAAACATGCAATATTGGGTCATGTCATGTCCCGGAATGCACCAAAGAACCTGTCAAGAAAAACAACACGGGACTACTCTAAAGCAACCTCAACAAGAACCACTCAACTGATGTACCACAAACGTTTAGAAGATAAAAATAATTCAAACTTTTCCTACAGTTTTACACTTTTCATTTAAAATATAGACTAAAATCATGATTGCAGGTTAAGGTTGACGAGTAATGATTACAGTGAAACTGAATAGAACAACTTGTGAAATGTAAAACCTCTAGAATAGAAGACCTGAAAACACAACTCAATACAGGGGGAACTCGGTAAAAGTCAGAAAAATGTAAATGATTTTAGTAAAAACACATCGCCTTCAGAATTGAAGATCTGGTAATGCCTTATGAAATGAAATGAAATAAAATGAAATGAGATATTTATATCCCGCTCATATGATTAACCAACAACACAAGGAAGGTGGTTAACCATGTCAGAGCGGCTGACTGTGAGTGATGTGAGCAAATGTGTAAAAATGAACAAGAGTATAATATAAGACCAAGACAAAATTAAAACATCTTTTATTTTAAACCACACTAATCTAAAAAGAAGCAGAGACCATACAATACATGTAGGTATAATAAAGGTACTACTACAACCATGATGGAACGTACTAAACGAGAAAAGAAAACAAATGAATGAGAACAAAGCACTAAGCAGAGGATCAAATGTCAGTTTAGTGTTAAATGTTAACAGTAACACCCGAGCTGCTGTAAAACAAGCCGTTTTAAAACAGTGTCCTGTAACAAATTACTGCAAGGATAAAGTGACACGGTGAACCGTGAAAGAGGCTGCAGTAGAGAGGGTGTAGTAGAGAGGGTGTGGTTATTAAGTGGTTTAGCTGTCGTTTTAAATCAGAGATAAGAAATTTAGTGGGACACTGATAAGACCTTTTATGGGTCCGCAACTTGTATTTTATACAGAGGTATCTAATTTTTGTACAAGATAAGAAATCCGACCAGACTTGAGAAATACTGGATAGGTTATAGGTTTATAATTTGATTTGGAGCTGTAAAATGTTGGAATGTTCTTCCTAAAACACGAACATTTTTTAACATTCTTTACTTGATACCTAGGACATATCTCCCGAGTACACAACGAAGCTCAGTGTATCAGTATTCCCCACCCAGAGGTGCAGTTATAAACTAATGACGATCAATACAAAAGGCAACAGAATCTTCAATCTACTTGAGTGAGGTGATGGCTTGAATATAGCTGAATATAGCTGAAAATAGCTGAAAATAGCTGCGTGTGCGTGATGAGAGAAGTTAAAACAACTATTTAACAAGCATGCAGTGCACCCTCACTGAGCACGGTGTATTATGTGTTTAACTTGGACGGTAAGTGGGACTGTAACTGCCAAATTATGCTAATCGGAGAAGGACTGCCTTTATTTTGTCCATTGTTAATGGACTAACCCGGGGCGCGCTACTTCGTAGCACTTGCCTCGGGCTAATATTTCGAGAAGAAAGCGGCGCGCGCTACTTCGAACTTCGAAGAAATTTAGACGAGTATAGCATCCGTCAGCGTTTATTTGGACACGTGGGAGATGATCAGATGAGTTGATTAGTTGTTGTGACAAGCTGATCGGCTGTTTGAAGTGTCTTGTTAGAACGAATATTGATAATAGGGTGGGAGTGTACACTGTGGTAGGTGTCTAGAAGCAGGGGTGAAGGAAGATGGGGGGGGGGGGGGGGGGGGCAGGGCCTAGAAATGTAGTTTACTAAAGAAGGAGTGTGCTTCACAAAAGAAGGGAGTTGATAAACAAAGAGAGTAACTGAAGGTAGTTACTAACGTCTAACCATGTTACTTAACAAGTTACCTAACAAGCTATTTACCAAATTAAAAAAAATAATTACTACACAAAGTTACTTAACAGTAAATAAATTACTAAACAAATTGACAAGATCAGATGCAATATCTAATAATCTATCGTCTCTGAAAAAATTAGACGTCCAGAGAAAACAATATATATGTGTTTTAATATTGAATGGGCGTGGTCTAAAATATTCGAATATTAAAATTTTGGCCTAACTAATATGATAAAATTAGAAATTTGCATACCATTAAACAACGTACAGCAGAAAATACATGAACCTGAATATAAAAAGAAGAAAATACATGTGTAAGTAAGCAGAAGTGAGCAGACAAGTTTCATCTAGAAGTGGAACAATTCTTTACATTTTGAAGCCAGAGTGTGGACTGGTGCTGTTTAAAAGATTCCACATGATACTCAATAAATGTATTTAATAGTAGTGGTAAAAATAGATTAAATACATTAAGAACATGCTGAAAAAATCACAGGGGGAATAAAGTACTCCAAAATAAGAGAAGCGTTACAAAATCCGTCTTATAGGTCAACTAACACAGCGTAACAAGCAGCGACTAGAACTACACTGAAATTACACTAGTAGTACGATTGCGGGGCGCCATCGTGATCAGTTCTTTTCAAACAAATCCTGGCAGAGTTCCATTTTACAACGAAACACTTTGAAGCACAGTGATCTCTATTCATTTACCAGTTAAATACACTTAAATGAAACTGTGAGATTCTCCCTCGAGGTAACAACATTTCCCCTTGAGGTTATACAATTAGGGGTGATGGTTAATTTGGTTATTTACTTGAAACATGGTGGGGAAGTGGCTGAAGTTTACTGTTGAAGCAGTTCTTGACCAATCAGCTTGCAGCAACGACCCATCATATTACTATGAATCCATTAACCCGTGACCGGGGAACAAATGATCAACAATGGAGGCTCAACAAGAAACACCAGTACCTACATATTGACAAGGACCAGTGAATTGATTAACTCTTCTAATGAACAACACTGACTGATAAAGACCGATCAGACACCACGCCTAATAGATATTTGGAACTGTGCCAGGGACATGTCAGATATAAAGCCGCTTCTATTATGATCGTGTGGTTTCAGCATTGTACATATATTGTATTACGTAACTTATAAATTACGTACTACAATTATACAATGTAAATATAACCTAGAGGTGCTTTTATGAGTAGTGCGCGGAGAAACGAGCTCGTTCCTACACATATGTTGCTTGAACTACAGACTACATTCAATACACACACACTTGTAAATACTAAACATGCAATAAAACCAATTATATGTTAAATAAGGTGTGGTGTTGGTGGAATCCAGAAAAGAGCGGGAGTGGGCAGCCAGTGTCGCTTATAACTACAGACTACAGAAATATTAGCAGCAAATTCAGAAGTTTTATAGACAATGGATTGTAATCTGTTGTTCAAGCATGATCTTATATAGTTATAAAGGATTGTGGAGATGTTATGATTAGAGGCCGAGGGCCGGTTCGGCTAAAACATCTCTAAATTGGTATGTATACCACTCTTTATCGAAAGTTTCTCGAGAAAATGAACAATTAATGAACACTACATGAGCCACATAGTTGTTGGGAAATAGCCAAATTATCGATTCTTTTCTTAGCATCGAATAGCACCATAGATCAGGGGTTAATTGCAGAGGTCGCAGAAAAGTAATGCTCATTAGAAGCCAGGTTACTCAACAAAACAGCTACTACAAATAATAAGTGTTGCACATGTCACGAGTCTAATATCGAATGAGATACAAGGATGAGTAATATAAGGTCATCATCAACAGTGCTCTAAGCAGCAACAAATTAATACAATAGGAAGAGAAATTGAACCCCAACTCTGAGAATATCACTTATTAAAGTGTTATTTAGGTTCATTTATCGTCACGAGAGTTCTGACTATAATATGACAAGGTTCTATGATCTGCTATATGTTGGTCTGTGTAATTAGTCCGATGAGGAGTATAGGTAGGTACACACTACACACTACACACTACACACTACACACTACACACTACACCCTACACGCTACACGCTACACGCTACACGCTACACACTACACGCTACACACTACACACTACACACTACACACTACACACTACACACTACACACTACACACTACACACTACACACTACACACTACACACTACACACTACACACTACACACTACACACTACACACTACACACTACACACTACACACTACACACTACACACTACACACTTCAGGTTATAGTTGGGCTATGAGTTCAAATATTCGGAGACAGTGTATATTTGTATATTTGTGCGTATTTCTAACGTGTTTTGGCACTGAATGTTGAAAATAGTATGTTATTCTACGGACCGTCGGCTATTATACACACGTAAAACTTCCAAGGCGACTGAACTAGCGACTGAACCGTATAAAACCTACACAAATAACGGTCACGCGACAACAGCTCATGGCTTATACTCCTATAATAGTCTGCAAACTGTTCGCAATTACTTTAATTGATAAACTATATCTGCAGGTAGAGGAGTCAAGAGTCACAGATTTATATAAGTGATGTTAAGTTTTAAGGAGAAAATAGGAACAAAAAACTGAAGTTACATATTCAACATATTGTTGCATAATAACGGGCTTTTTAAAGTGATTTCGAGAAAATAAATAAAATTTAATGATAAATGAGATTAATTTCGAAATATTGCTTTACCCTCCGTGTATGCAGTTGAACTTCTATTGGATTATATATCATAATAGTCACACGTAAAAACCTTAAAGTAGTATATCGTAAAATTAATAATGTAAAGAATATTAA